GATACCGCTTCTACCACCATTGTCTGTATGACGGCTACTCACGAAGGTGGGGTAACCTTCAACGTGGTAATATTTATGAGGTACATTGGGGGAGAACCATGTTTCCGTTACTTCTATGGGAAGTAAGAAAGCAATGAAGCTTGTGCCTCCGCCACCTACTCTCCCATACGCTACCATTGGCTGCTCCCGATTTAAATTTGAAAACTGTGGTATTGTCTGAATGCATTGCGAGCGATCGGATCGCTAATCAGGGACAACCAGATCCACTTTTCCTTATCTACGGTCTTCAACGCACTCAGAAGACTGGAGATTACGCTTGAGAAGTGCCACTACTAGCTACACCCCGTCAACGGTACCACGACGATCGCAAGCCGGCAGACTCAAACTCGTTACACGCACTACATGATAAATGGAAGTGCATCTACATAGACGACAAAGAACGCAAATCCCTGAAATGCAAGAAACTCTGCACGTAGGCGCACGCAAAGACCAAGTGCAACGACGATGCGGCACACGTATCATATCATCCGCCTTATTGGCCTAGGTTAGTAAATCGAATGGAAGCGGACGCATCGCACCTACCAATCACTGATATGCTTAGATATTCAGTTGGCTTGTCGACGTTTGAATGCTGACCTCACGTGGCAACGCCGGGGGCTTACGAAACCCGCTTGACTCAGACACTCGTGATAGCCTGTGCTACAGCACCAACCACTTGATGTCTACGGGTTGTCCTCCATCGTAGCCTGTCGCTTCCGTGCACGGCGCCTCTCCTCCACATGTAGCGGAACTTTCTTTTGAAACTAAGCAAGCGCCCTTTTGACCAGCTCACGCCATTCGCGAAGAGCAACTGCAGTTGATCCGCAGCACCTGAGATGAAGATAAGTTCGTGAAAAACTCATCTTGATCATGCCCTGGTAACGTAACCTCTGTATTTAGAAGTTCCTCTTCCTTGCGCTATGTTGTCCACATAGGTATCCGCGTCGAATACATGCGGCGTACATGTTCGATGCACCCGGAGTGCCGCAGTAGAACTGTGCAGTCTACTGCTTGATTGCCACTACGGTGCAGCGCTTCCGTGTCAGTAACTCGGTAATCCCAGCTGATGCGCAGAATACGACCCATGCACTGTTAGGGAAAGCGCTCCAAGCAACAGATGACTTTCCAACAAAGCGCACAGGTTTCGCTGTCGTATAGAAGAAGGAACAGCTCCATCGACTTGTGTAACATCAGCTTCGTTCCAACGGTAAGCTTGTAGTTGTACCATACATGTTTCTCTAGGTTGCTAACCGAAGTAGCTGCCTTTGATACGCGGATATGCAGCTCGCTCATCCTCTGCAGGTCGATAGACATTACGCTCCCAAGGTAGCAAAATTTCGTCGATTTTTCCGACACGTCATCGGCAACCCGGATTTGGGACAGACCCACGTATTCCAAGTATTGTTAGTGAGCCCGAATTTGCCCACTATCGAAGCGTGAGCCGAAACTATGTGCTGCAAGTCATCCGCATTGTGTGCAAACAACGCGCAGTCGTCGGCTAACGACAACACGTGTGGTTGTCTCACACACTAAGGTCTCCGCCGCGAAACGACGGATGCTCAGCAACCCATCATCAATTATGTGCTCCACACGGACGCCGTTATCACAAACAGCATCAAAGGCACACGACATCATTGCATGGTGGTAAAAATCAAACAGGACAGGGGCTAACACAACGTTACTTCACACCATCGGCAATAGTAAGGTCATCCCAGGTATGTCCACACAGCTGCATTCTCGCCCGCATGGTTGGCGGCATCCGGTTTCGTATTTGCCTGTCCCTGTGACCACTCACAGGACGCCCGCGCCTACAGAGGGACCTGTAAATCCCATTTGCTTTGTCCATTCACACAGCTGAGGGATCAGTTGGTACTCTAGTTGTGTTTTGTACTGCCGCTGGTTCATGTTACCATTTACGATGTCGAGCCGACTAGTTCCGTAAATGTTCACAACGTCCCATATCCTGACCTGAATGGGATGCTTGACTCATCGAACGATATAGTCTTCCCTCATCTGTTCTCCAGGTAATCTCCGGGCATATAGAGATAACTGCTCAGAGCACAAGATAATACACACATCGCTGAAAATCACCTAAAATAAAACAGAAAATCGGTTGGAAATACCCAAGCAATATAGGCACAATTTTTCTCGAAAATCCTTATGAACATAAAGCTTTTGCTTCTACTCGCTCCCAGTCTTCTTTTGACCATTTGCCAGGCCGATAGGCCCATACCTGTCGTTTTTCCATTTGTTCGGTCACCGTTTGTTTCATCAGAAGTATACAAGCGCAAAGTACAGAATCCAACAGTCGTCTTACAGTTATCGAACTTACTGCAACACCCTGCTGTTCTGACGTCCCTTGCAGCTGTCTGCTAGAGGACTTGTGATTCCTTCGGCATTCCCTAAGCAGGAGTGAGTCGTCTCGGGCTGTTGTGACTCTTCTGCAGTCACATTTACCAGGGGTAAATTCTTTTGCAATTTGTTTCGAATTTTGCATACAGAGACTGGGCTAACACCGATCTTAGTAGCAATTTCTGCTCTTTTAATATTCTTTTACAACAAAATTTTAATTCGTAGATTATACCCATGGAAATACAAGAACACAACGTTGCGAAGAGTACTCTTTTCGATAAATCTCCTCAGGCATTTACAATTATAAAATAGAAATGCACAAAGTAAACGGCTGATGAAGCCAAAATGGTGGGAGAATAGTGGAATCACGACAAACAGAAACTCAAAAGTATTGATCAATAAAATCCGTTAACCACACATGTGACAAAGCACGTGTTAGTTGATCGGTGGGATGCCAAGTGCATCATCCGACCATTGTAGGCGCCTGGAGTGGTAAAAATTAGCGAGCTAACTAGGGCCAGGGTAGAAAAAGCCCTTGCAGCGAGGCCTTCTGCTTACATAATTCCGGTTGCAAAATTCTAATCACAATCGCTTCGGCCGTCTGTAAAATTTGCTTTCTAAGCCCTTTAGTGTACCGTGGTTTTACTACATAAAGTAATTGGAAGGCATCAGCGGTCCTAATTCGGTGTCCGCTTTCCACCAGATGTTCCAGGATGGAACTGTTGGGGCGACTGACGATGCCTTTCCGCAAAGCCGCTGGGCAGTGCTCCGCAATGCGTTTAGACAGACGCCTGGTTGTGTCCCACGTACCTCGCACCACAGGCGCAGGTAAACTGATATAAAATGTAAGATTGGGACTTAACCGGACGTCTATCTTTAATGCGTTGATGCCTTCCAAGTACTTTATGTGGTAAAACCAAGGTACACTAAAGGACTTAAAAAGCAAATCTTACGGACGGCCGAAGCGATTGCGATTAGAATATTGCAACCGGAACTATGCAAGCAGAAGGCGTTTCTGCAAGGGCTTATTCTACCCTGGCCCTAGTTAGCTCGCTAATTTTTCCACTCCAGGCGCCTACAATGGTCGGATGATGCACTTGGCATCCCACCGATCAACTAACACGTGCTTTGTCACATGTGTGGTTAACGGATTTTATTGATCAATACTTTTGAGTTTCTGTTTGTCGTGATTCCACTATTCCCCCACCACTTTGGCTTCATCAGCCATTTGCTTTGTGCCTTTCCATTTTATAATTGTAAATGCCTGAGGAGATTTATCGAAAACAAAATTTTAGTTTTCGCACACTCAGGTCATGCTAATACAATCTAGAACCTGTCGATCAATACGATTGGGTGGTTACTTGAGAAGATACCTTAAATGTAAAATTAAATAACATTATATATTGATCCAAAATCAAACAAATGTAATCCAGTAGTGCAGTAGAAAATAAGAAATTAAGATAAAAATGTGACATTGGTTTACATAACTACTGTGCATTTAGCATCTACCTGTTTATCATCATTTGCACAACTCATTCATTATATGCCTTTGAATGTTAACTCTAAAAAATTCAAGCATCATTTACAAAATACTAATCTTGATGGTTTCTAATCAAAATATCTTTCTTTTGTAATATCCAATCATTTTACAGTAAAATCACTTGATTTTTACGAGTTCTGTGAAGAAATATGAAAAACGTTGGCTGAACTCAATAAATTTAGAGTATTTTGGCCAACGTCTATTTATTTATTTATTGCAAACCTGAAGTGTGTCCGTCACTCTCCCCTGAAGTGTGGTGCTGTGACCATCATGCATATACAGTTGTGTTTTGCTTTAGTTGGCGACTAACACTTCGGACTTTGCACTGCGTGAATTCGCTGGCTGTCTTCAGTTGCACGCTAGCGGTCTGGAGCGATTTCTATGGTTTGGATTCAGGCAGACAACCACTTTACTTGCCTCTATATCAAGTGTTTCTGAATCGGTTGCATGCATAGTTGATGCATGCGATATATGCTACCTTCTGCTGAAAGCGTGATGCTGCTGGCCTAATCTACTCTACGATTAGATTCCAAAGACATGATGGGTGGAAATTCAAATATAACTGATTCAACACTATTTTTATACACGTAGCCTTAAATCAACACAACCGTGAGTGAGACTCATAGTACATAGTGCTGTCACATTACTCAACTGGTAAGTGGGAGAGGTCGGTAGCACAATGAACCGTGTATCACTTTGCAACCGTACAAATACATGGTCCTGTTTCGTACGCGCAGCGCACTTGTCATTCTGACGGCGACGGGTAACCATGCCTCATCGACTGGTTTGATGATTTACGCGGTGCAGTTGCTGATCGTACCATTGAAGTGCATGACCCGTCACCACGTGTTATCAATTACATGGATCATTGATAGATGGTTGTGTACTTCACTCGGCTGCATGACTCGTTTTCAGCTGTTCTTACAAGGCACTGAGTTGAACTGATTCGGCGTACTGTTTACACCTATGTGTATTCGCTTCATCTTATTTTGGTACTACTCGTAGATTTGTTGTGTCCCTCCTATGTGACTTCTTGCTAGCTCCCGTAAGGACCTTTTTATTTCCATAGGAATGCGTCTGTCGTTTGGAGGCACCCAAAGCCCAAGAGTTCTTCAAGAAAATCTGGCCTAACGAATCATATGACCCGAACTCGACAGCGAGTTTCGATCGTGATCAGGAACCCTTTGTCGGTAAGCCTTGACTTTTTATAGGATTTTGGTTGACCTTAAACTGAATGTTTTTCCAATCGTCACAATCATTTCTACGTCTTGTTATAGATCCCATTTTATAACTTATAGCATATTTCCGGACTGTGAAGTACTGATCTATTGAGGAGCCAGATCAGTATGTGCGGGAATTTCATGCTCATGTCAGAATGACACACGAATAAAATAGAGCTGAAGTCTTACATGGTTCCAACTCTGTAATTTATTCGGTATCCACTATGAAAAAGATTTTTCAACCTTTTTTACTTTTGTGCACATGCTCAGGTCCACACCCTAGACCATTTTCATTACATCCATCGGTTGACTGCTTTTCCCATGTCATGAAAATAATAACTAAACACTAACCGGAGTCAACCGAGTTGGTTAAGCAACATTAGTACATGTTAGCTGAACGTGGGAAACATACTTCAGCTTTTGTGCTTTAATGCAAAAAAATAAGGTTCTAAGCATTACAAAATATAATAAACCACAGATGAAATATGCAAAGTATCATTATGATGGAAGCGAAACGTAAATGAGTGAGGGGCGAACAAACTCACAACACATAGGCGATTTATGTCGGCACTTCGCCATGTCAACATGTGCATCCAACTAAACCTGTTTATCGTCCTTCGGATCCCATCTCGGCTATCGGGGGACGCCAACCTACACCAAGTTCGAAGTGAGAATTATTATTGCTGTTGTTCAAGTCATCAATTGGCATCTCTTCCTGTTCTTCTTTCTAGACCCACGTTGTGCGAGTCGGTCCTGGCATGCGCAACACTTGGGCCAGCAATCGGTGCCTGGTGCGTGATGTAATGATGATGAGCAGTTCACTCATCATTATGAACAGCAGTACATCAGCCATTTGAACTGATGCCTCACTGCCATACAACGTAACAACCTACGGAACAAAGAATAATAAGAATAATAAGCCGGAGAGAAGTGGAAATTACCGGAGGACCTTAAATCCCTAGGCAACCATTCAAGGTCAACACAACTTCACCTTGTCAACAACATCTCCTCAAAAGCAGCTGAAAATCGTGAAAAGATAAGGCGACATCAGCGGGGCATCTTCCTTGCGGTTTTCACTACCCATCGTCATAGTCAGCCATTACCCCGCATCTAACTCTGCACCAAACACACGTTAAACAGGTTGTTCGACTAGGAGACCGCGGCAGACGCGCTACTGGTGTCGACTACGAGCCATGTCCCGTGAACTCTCGAGCTAAGCACATGGCGAATCACGTGCACTCCATCATGGAAGGCGGACTGTCCGATGGTGCTAAATTCGGTCGTCAGTGACTTCATTTCCCGCGGTCAAGTCAACTTTTGTCCACCTCGAGCCTTGCGTCACCCTACGTCTGTCTGATAAAACAAGTACCCCCTAGGTATATGGTGGCCAGGCATACGTAGTACGTGCCCAAGTTGACGCAATTTATTCAGTGTTGTCTGTTGTTCTAAAAAACTAGCATGGGTATCATTGCCTGGGACTCGCCTACGCACATTATTGTTGAGAACACGCTGGTGTCGCCGGACCCCAGCAATGCTCCGCAGACAACGCTGCGGAGGGACCAATTCGCACTTCCACAGAGTAAGACGGCCCTCACCGTGGCCTTGTATCCACGGCATTTTGGCCTGAGGGAAACCCCTTTCTGTCGTCAGAGATGTCGGCGATTCAAGAAGGCAGTTCTGGCTTCTGCAATACGTTAACTGAATTCAGTAGCTATGCACCCATCGTTGGTGATACAGCTGCTAGGGTAAGTGAAATCATTGACCACCACGAGTTCCTCGTTAGCTAGGGTCAAGAAGTCATAAAGTGCCTGTTGGTCCTGCAGCAACACTTTGCACTTTGAAGGTACAAAGCGCATACCATATAACGGGATCACTCTAGACAGGCTATTCAGGGTTGATTGTGGCGCCGCAACATCGTCGAAAAGCAAGACCATATCGTCCGCATAATCAAGATCAATTAACCTTTCACCAGGCATTTACCTCAATGCCTACATTGTGAGATTCCGTAAGAGAGCACCCCGTGATAGAGTCCGCGACTAAATTGAACACAAATGGGGAAATCGGACAACCCTGACAAACGCCGCTTGTTGTCTAAAAGCTGTCTGACAGGTCACAGTAGACCCTGATGCGGCCTGTAGTGTTCGAGTATAGAGCACGTAGGATGTTCACATCTTTCGTGAGGACACCTTTCCGCGCAAGAGAATGCATCGATCTGCTGATTCGACTGCACACTTGAAGTCTTGGAGCAGTTATTGTCGGCCTGCGGTATGCGTAGCACTGTTCTAGCACCTGCCGCAAAGTGGATATGCGGTGCTGAATGGAAACCTGCTTGTTTTTCCCTAATCTGAGATTTCTCTTCCGCAGTGATGCGACGAACCAGTTTTGAGACTAGTGATTTTGTCAACATGGACGTTAGGCGAATACCCCCGTTGGTCAACACAGTCAGTGCGACTCTTCCTGCTCTTCCTGCAGCAGATGCACGACGCTGAACATGTTCATCGCTCACGCGGTGTTTTCAACAGACGTGAGCTAAGCTACGATGACAGCGATACTCGAACGTGGCTAACCTCTTTGCCTCTGTCGGCCTGATGGACCAGGTTTCGCACCCCCACAGAAGGGTTGAACGCGCAGCTGCATTGTGAACTTTGCCGTGAAGGACGAGATTTATGTTACGCCTGCGCCACGGGTGGCAAAGAATGGCGAAAGCGTCTCGAGCATTTGTCTTCGGTTGGTGATCTCATCTTATATTCCACCGGCGCTAATATAGCTGCCAAGATACTTACATTTCTGGACGGCTCCCAACTGGTCACCACCATGGGTCAGCGCAGGAGAGGGTCCCTGCCAATGTTGGGTGCAATACATAACCCGAAACCACAAACAGGCGTGCTAATTTATTCAGTGCAGCTTGTGACGTTTAGGAGGTGTCATAGCTTAGCGCGGTATCATTGTCCTATTCCAATTCACGAGGTCGCTCATCAGGAAGCAGCTTCACACCTTTTAGGTCGCGTCCAGTGAATGTAGTTTCCATGACCTCGTTAACGGCATAGTTAACTAGAAAGCCTAACTGCGGGTGAACTTATCTTACACAGCTGGAGATATTAAACCGCGACGACAGTTTGGTATAAACCCTCACTCTATCCGAACCATTTGCGTACAGCGCTCATAATATTTGCATGTTGTTGGGCACTGATGTGTCTTCATGTTTATTGAGCACGTTTTTCCTCACTAGACAGTACTAAAGAACATCTCCATCCACCGAATCGAAGACACCTTTGTAACTGCTTTGGTTACGTTGTCCAGCAATTCGATCTGCCACGTTTGACACAATCGTGCCCGGAGAAATTTTTTTGACATTCACACAGGTTATTCGCATTTAAAAATTATATAATTATCTTATTGTGCTTTCCACAATTCTACACAGTATAATAAGGCTATTAGTGCGGCAATTGCTTATTTCATGTTGGTGTCGCCATGTGACTATAGTCTGTTTTCACTAAGAAAGGTAGATGCCTGTTTTCTTTGATCGGATGAACACCTTCTGCAGGTCATTGTTTAAAGGTTCTTTTCAGAGCGACGGGAAGTGCTATGTGGTAAAGCCGATTCCGAAAAGCGGTAACCTCAGCAAAATGGTCAGTTGCAGGCCAATTTGTATGACATTTGTTTTGGGCATGGTTGCCGAGAAGGTCGTGAAGAAAAGTATACTACAGCTTCTGTAATCAAAAGATCTACTGACGCCCCCACAGCACGGTTTTGTGCTAGGCCGCTCATTCATTGTCAGTCTGTCGCTGACGGGACACGAATTGTTACGGGTAATCAATCAAGGAAAACCTGTCGACCTAATTTACATCTATATTAGCAAGGCGTTCGACAAAGTAGACTATGGGGTCCATCTCGAGTGGATCCAGGACTTTCATTGCGCTATATTGGAAGGTACAGGTAGACGGCCATTTAACTGACTGGTATCTCTTTACCAGTGCAGTAGCCAAATTCACGGTGGTGGGGCCCACTCTATCCGTAAATCTCATCAGCTATCTGCTTCAGCTTCTTCGGTCACCGTATGAAATGTTTAGGGATTATCATTAAGTATTGTGAGTTGTTTGCACACCAGACGACTGCGGCTTACTTCAACTAGACCTCATCCGCCTCTGTATATGGTCCCAATCAACTTATTCAAGTCGGTATTTATGAGCTTGGGGAAGGGTTGTGACAGCTGAACATTGACGGCCAACCACTACATCCCACGTCTTCGGTGAATGACCTAGGTGTACTCTCGCGCTGCGGGAGTGGACAACAACTGGCTAAATCGTAACGCACTGCGCACGCTTTGGGAGCTCAAACGCAGGTTCTGTACTTGGTCTAAAGAGGTCGCCACTTGCCTCCTCTTTTCCATCATAGCACGTACTGGAATACGGCTAGCCTACCTACCGTCCAAACAACCGAGGCGACGCACAGAAGATCGAACGGGTCCAACACGTCGGTACCAGGCGCATTACTGATTTACGATGATTACTGTACAAAGACGGCTACACGAAACTAGGACTCTAAACTTCCTCCTATCGTCGGCTACGAGTCTACCTCATCGCGGCCTACTGCGTACATCACTGTGACTTCCCCATGTTGAGGCCCTTGCTTCATTCGCGAACGTCATACAGTACAAGGGAACATCGGTACAAGCTTGTGATGCCGGGTATAAAGCGATTTCCCCACCCTGTGTGCATCGAACGTAGAGTGGTAAGTGTTTGTAAGAGGCTGCTAGAACAAGTCATGGAGGCAAAATCACTACAGCCTTTCAAGTTGCTTTTACCTACATAAATAGGGTATCTACAGGTGGCTGATCCCTTTTATGACATTTTTGTTACATTTCCGTGGGATTGTATAGATTTAAATTTCTGCTTGCTCCTTCAATACCATATTCAGTTGTCACTGCCGCCGTGTTTATGCAATGCTGACGGTTTACCATTGGGCCCATG